AAGGCAGAGACCCTCTGATTGGGGTCCCTGGGAAATTATCGGGTGTTCACCTCGGGGCTCCAGGCCAGCCCTGAGACACCAGGGGAAAACTTAGCTGGAGACGCACAGGAAAGCTCAATCAAGACTAGCTGAGGAAGGACACAGGGTCCACAGTCCCCACTGGGTCAGGCCTGGGCTGCGAGGGGGACCAAGCACAGCGGTCTGACACACAAGCCAGTTTATCCCCTGGTGGTCAAGAAGGGACTGCTCCAGGGAGAGCTGAGGCGACACTCTGACGTCTGTTAGGCTCAGCCAGCACTGGGGCAGAGGCTTGGTGTAGTGCCCGGGTTAGACTCCCGCCTCCTGCTAACATGGACCCCAAGAGCCCGTGGGGATGGCTCATCCATGTGGCAGCCTGGACTACTCCCTGTTCCTGGCTTCAGTCCTCCAAGCAGCAGATGAATGCTGGCGCTGTCCTCGTGTTTCCCAAGAAGGAAATTATGACAACTACTCTGAAACAAGCACTCTATGGTGAGTACTCAGAACCTAGCACTTAGCTCAGGGGCTTGCATGCCAGCTCCACCGGAAGTAGTTTTCTATTACTGTGTACCTTGGCAGGAGATGCTTCAAGTACTTGGGTCTCTGCCACCCAAATGGGAGACCTGGGTGGGTTCTGTGCCCTTAGCATTTTGGTCTGGCCCACCCTAGCTGTGTAGGCATGTGAGGAACCGGTGCTCATTGGTGGCCAAGTGGCCAGTCCTCACAGTGGAATTATTCTGTCTCACAGAAGGAGGGGCACTCCTAATCTTGCTTTGTAAAGTTGCATTTTTTAAAAGATTTACTGAATGATTTAGAAAGGAGAGGGGGGTGTGTGGTCTTTCATCGTTGCTTCACTCTCTGGGCACAGTGGATTTGGTACCTGGTTGTAGCCTACCTACCCTTCTCTTGAGAAGTTTTAAGCTGGTGATGCGCTGGGGGTTACCACACCCGCTGCTGGGCAGACTGGCCTGAGCCACCTCCAACCCCCCTGAAAGCTCAGAGGGAAAGGAGTGCCATGCCCACTTCTAGGTGAGCCTGTGTGCTGCCTGGCTCTCCCCAACACGGTGTGAACAACAGTCAAACTAAACAAGCAAAGCTACAACCCAGTACAGAGTCTTCAAGAGGACCCCCCTCAGCTAGAACTCCAAAGTGCTAACAGACAGAGAATTCACAATAGTTCCTGGAGGCACGCCTCAGCTCAGCCGTGTTCCCGTCAGTGCTCGGGCCCAGGCGAGCTCTGGCTCCTGTTATGCACAGACACGTGCAGATTGGGGAGGGATAGGCAAGGCTGTGCCTATCGGCAGAGGGCGTAATTCAGTGTGCAAGAAATCCCAGGGGAGCTACAGGATACTGGGATTGGTGTGTGAGCCTAGCCGGGACACATCCCATATGGGCACTAATTCGTGTTCCAGCTGCTCCACTTCCCATCCAGCTCCCTGCTGTGGCCTGGGAAAGCAGTAGAGGACGGCCCAAGGCCTTGGGACCCTGCCCCCACGTGAGAGACCTGGAAGAAGCTCCTGGCTCCGGATCTGGCTACTGTGGCCATTTGGAGAGTGAATAAATAGATGGAAGATCTCTGCCTCTCCTTTTCTCTGTAATTCTTCCTTTCAAATAAAAATAAACTAATCTTTTAAAAAGGAAAAATCTCTCAATCCCCCTCTCCTTTTGTCACTGTCCAGCATGACTCTCAGCGCTGCAGGCATGGCACTCCCATTCTGAGGGGGCAAGTGGCTTCTCCAAAGTGAGGTTGGAGGTTTTTCTGGTCAGCAGGTGTGTACGTGACATACTCAAAAATCGGTGAGTGGATGGGCTACATGTGGCTGCCAGAGGGAACGCACCATTCTCTTTGGAAGGCCAGCTGACGCCATGCCATCAGCGTCTGGATGCCCCTCTGTCCTTTCCCTCTTCTGGCTGTCTTTTCATCAGGGACCTCCAGGGTCCTACGCAGCCGACACGGCTCAGGGCCAGCAGAGGACTGCAGGCAGCCAGCGCTCCTAGCTGCTCCTGGAAGGAGCTCCTGGCGAGAGCCCCTTGCAGCCATTCTGGGTGGTCTCCCGGGAGTGGCTTCTTTCCCTTGGGCTCCCTGACGACAGTCCTGGTGGGCATTCTCCTTGGGCTCCGTCTGCACTGCAAGGAGACCTAAGTGTTTGCACACCCTAAAACCCCAAACTAAACCTTTCCACAGGCGGGAATTTATAGGGACCAGACTCACAGATGCTACTGAAAGTACCCTCATCTAGGCTGCCAGATCTGTCTGATGAACTGCCATGAGAGGACGGGGAAATGTTGGAATAGTGGATTTGATAAGTCACCTGTCCTGAGGCTTTGGTGAAATAGGTTGAAGAACAAAAGCAACACGGGCCAAAGTTGCGGATTAGTCACACTCAGGAAGATCTTCAATGGTCAGCAGGAAAAAGTAAACATTTACGCTAGGAGCAATACCTGGAAAATCAGAGTTCTCGAAACCTCCCCAGGGCTAGCTGCCAAGCTCTGTGAGAAGACTTCTGTTTCACCAACCACCGTCTCCAGCAGCAGGTGCCACCTTCGTGGGGTCAGACTACTGTGGGACACCTCTCTCTGTAGATGTGGACTCGTGCCAGATGCCAGCAGCCCAGAGCTGCTGCAAAGCACAAAGCTGCTTTATGCTGAGGCCCCCAAGGCGAGGTGCCTCACGGCTACACATTCCACATCACAGCTCAGCAATGTGCGGTCCTCATTTGCTGGCCATGTAGCTGCCCCTCCTATGCAGCAACCTCAGGTCCAAGAAATCTGTGGGCACCACTGAAGACACCCCACTTCCTTGTTCTTGGAGCAGCACAGAACTAGCAGTGCTAAGACCTGGCTCTTTGTGGCTGACAGTTTTGAAGTGAGAACCCGCATTTGAACAAAAATGCACGCCTGCCCTCTAGTGGGGACTGTGGTCCTGCTGCCGTCAGCACTGAGCTGACCCAAGCATCCCTCATGGGTTTTGTGAGCTCTTTGCTTTCTGTAAAAGTCTAATACAGGAGTTCAGTGGCATCTGGATAGCAAGGGACTACATTTTCAAACATGTGTCCTACCTGTTTAAAACTGTGCCTTGAATTTTCAATTGTAAGGACAGCCACGTCACAAGGACCACGCTGACCATTTCTAGGTGTGTGGTTTAGAGGCGTTAGGGACAATCACACCGCTGTGTGGCCGACTCTGCCACGCATCTCTAGAACCCTCTCACCATGCACACCCGAAACCTTAGCCAGTTTGACCACTGCCACTCACTGCCAGCGGTCCCGGGCAGCCAGGATTAACTCTCTCAGAATCTGACTACCCTGCAGACCTCCGTCGATTCCCACACTGCCTGTTCTCCTGCCACCGGCTTCTGCCACTCCTCCTGAGGTTCCCCCAAGCTCACCAGGCTCCTCCCTTTTCGGGGATGGCAGTACCTTTCTCGTGGAAATGGCAAGTCTGGGCCACGCCCCCTGGCGGCTGGGAAGGATGCTGTTGGGAGGAGGGTGTGCAGACACCTGCTCAAACTCCCACGCCATGGCCACTCTCCGTTTGCGATGAGCTGCCAGGCTGTTCCCAGTGACAGTGGCTCCGGTTGCGGCCTGGATCCAGTGCCCCAAGTCCTCTTCCAAGGACACAGCCCAGATCCTGGTCCATACACAGAGATGACAGTTGTAAGTAATTTCATTTTATTGTTATGCAAAATGTCTTTAACAATAGTCTCAAAACAGAAAGTGCACAGAAATTCAGTGACAGCGAGCACACACCACAGGGCTTTGAGAATCGGAGTGAGCTGAGCCATGTTCTCTGAGTACAGGGTAAGCGGTGGCCAGGCCTGGCAATGCAGGCCGCAGGCTGCTCCTGCCCACGGTCTCCAGGTCCTGCTCCCGGCCCCAGAGCCCACCCCACGGCACTTGGGTGATGCAGGAAGCACCTGCTCGCTCCTGGACATGGGGAGGCCCCCACGTCCTCTCCACCAGGATGAGAGCGCTGTTCCCGGCTGTTACAGAAATGTGCGCCTTTATCACAGACACAGATCCTCATTACACCTTTAACTTGAAGAACAGAACAAAGGGCTGTGAGCTCAACGGAACCAGGGCATTTCCACAGTTGCCTGAAGAGCACACAGCTGTGACGGGCGCCCGTGCCCACAGCCCAGCCACGGTCAGACATGGCCCTTGGCTTTCTGGTCTAATTTAAAGGCGACTGATGACCCCGTGAAGTTCCAAATAGGGCACGCTCTGGGCACAGTGATGAGCACCCCCAATCGGGCACCACTCCTCCAGGGTGTGTGAGACCTTATAAAATCCTAGTTTCCATTTTTAAATTAAGCTTTCATTTTTTATGACATTAAGGTCATTTGGTTGAACTTAAAACTAGTTTTAAAAACTATGTCAACTAGAAATCTTGCATGTAATTCATGTATATAAAAACATATAAAGTTAGCATTTCATGTTTCCAACTCCTAACAGTAGGAAGTAATGATGCCCAAGCAGCACGCCTCCGTCGTGGGCCACCTTATAGAGCGTGGATGCACTGACGGGTTCAGGCACGACCCTCTTATTCAACATTGTGAAAGCGCGTGGCTGCAATGCCAGCATCTCACATGGCCAGGGCTTCTAACTCTGCCTGCTCCACTTCCAGCCCAGCTCCCTGCTAACGCATCTGGGCAGCAGGGGACACAGGGGACATGGACAAAGCTCCTGGCTTTGGCCTGGTTCAGCCCCAGCCATTCTGGCCATTTGGGGAGTGCGCCAGCAGACAGAAGGTAAGTCTCTAACTCTGCCTTTCAAATAAATAAAATAAATCTTAGAGAAAAAAAAAAAGACTTAAGGTTCTTATAGAATACTTGAAATATTCAGCTAAAACTTGGCTAACAACTCTAGGTACTTTCTCAAACTTGGGGAGAACCATGACTGCCCCGTCAGGCACTGACTAAGCCCTGTAGAGGGGCAGTGGAGCGGGGGTCTACGGCATGCGGGGCCAGGGGCAGGGCCCAATTACTGGTCCATTGCGTTCAGCAGCATCTCGCACGTCAGGCCTTGTTCCGGCTCCTGGCTTCCAGCCGCGGGCACTCCGTCCAGGGCAGGATCCAGCACCTCAGGGAGCAGTCCTTCCTTCGGCACCAAGGCCTCCTCCCACGCAGCCTCCTGGATGCCAGGCTCTGTGTGAGCACATGGAGAAGGGAAGCCCGGAGCCGGGAGTGAGGCACTGCACCAACACAGCTGGAGGCCGTGGCACGTGTCCTGGTGCCATGACAGGTGTGCCGGACACAAGCTTCCGGCTCCCAGGACACCACCTGCCGACAGGCTGGGGCTTCTCACGGTCAGCACTGGGGGCCTGTGGCTCCCTGCAGCGTGAGCGCGTGCGCATGCGTGTGTGTGTGTGTGCGTGTGTGTGTGTGTGTGTGTGAGCCCAAGCCCAGACTCCACCCCCTGGAGGCAGGAGCCTGTCATCCTGTTTTCCCCCAGTCACTGCGACACGCCCCACGGGTGCAGGGCAAGTCACCCCTGGCCAGGGACCGCGGCCCTGCTGCTGCCCAAGCTGTCTGCACACAGAGGGACACGGCCCACAGCCAGCTGCTCCCCAGGGCTTGTGTCCCTCTGGGCCATCAACCCGCACCAAGTCCCCACTCTGCGCCTGCGTCCTGCCTGTGGCGGGGTGGGATGCTGAGGGCCTGCTCCACCCCCGCCACCACAGCGGGCGGTGGCACCCGGCGCCTCCCCGTTCCCCTAAGGTGGGCGGCAGACAAAGGGGTCCCTCTGTCCCCCACGTGGCAGCCCAGAAAGTCACCATGAGGTGAGCACAGCCTTGATTGACACAGGTACCTTCTTCCCTGAGCGCTGCCTCGGGCGCGTCCCTGGCCTTTCTCCTTCTCCTGCCCTGGGCCACCGCTGCCTGCCCCGGCGGGTCGCACTTCTCGGCGTGGCGGTTCATGTTATTCTGTCAGGATGACACGGGACGCGGGTGTCGTGAGCACGACAGGTACGGGAGAATGCAGCCACGGGCCTCTCACCAACTCACGCTGAGCTGGCCACAGGCCTGTGTGCGCGGGCGGGTCCAGCCAGAGCGGCCTTATTTTAGAGTGTTAAAGTAGCACTCAATGAAATTGCAGTTTCTGCTTTTGGAACCCTACTACCACCTAAAGCACAGACGGGGTAACCCAGAATTTAAACCTGCCAACTGGATGAGCGATTTCACCGCCCCACGTATGTCCTTCCTGATCCCACTGGATGCGGCAGTCGCAACCACTCAATCACACGTGACCTACACAACAAAAAGGAAAGCCAGGGTCTAGCGCTGTAGCATAGCGCGTTAGGCCTCCACCTATACAGCCTCCATCCGATACGGCTGCAGGTTCAAGTCTTGGCTGCCCCACTTGTGCTCCAGCTCCCTGCTAATGGTCTGGGAAAGCAGCTGCAGAGCGTCTCATGTGGGAGATCTAGTTAGAGCTGCTACCTGAACCAGCCCAGCTGGCAGCTGGCGGCTGGGGAGCGACTAGAGCGTGGAAGAGCGACCCTTCTTTCTGTGTAGTCCTGCCTTTCCAATAACTTATTGGAAAGAGCTAAGGATTTCCTGGCTAAGCTGATTAGACAAACGTTTGGATGATTAAAATAAGTTAGAAAAGCAGTGACTATTTGGAAAGTTCACAGGTAAAAGCTGGTCATGTGTCTTCAGTCTGCTGATTAATCTCCACTGCAGCTTCATGCTGCGTATAATCAGGGGTTCCGGTGAGGTGGGGGCATGCCCACGGGGGCCGGGGCCAGCCCGCCCGCCCACTGTCCGGTATGTCAAGTTCTAGGGGACATCATGTGTCTGCTCGCCTGCCCGCTGGTCACTGGCTGGCTGCGTGCTGAGTGCACCTTGCAGCCGCAGGAGTAAGAGGCTGTGGCAGAGACGGCTGGGGGCTGGGGGCTCCTCCAGGGTCCCCGGGGGAGGTCAAGGCCCCCTCTACGAACATGAGAAAGCATCTTCCCCAACCTCACGTAAAAACACCTGCACATACACACGTCTGCACACGTACGTGCAGGCATGCACATGGGGACACACACGGGGACACAGACACATCTACACACAGGGACACACGAACACGTTTACACACACACGGGGACACACAGACGTGTTTACACATACAGGGACACATGGACATGTCCACACACATGCATATACACAGACATGCACACCACAGAGTGCACACGTATGCACACACATCAAGGTGCATGTGATATGCACATACGTGCACACTCACACACATGAACAAGGCTGCCCGTGACGCCGTCAAGTTGAGGGCCGAGAACAGCTAGCATCAGGTTCGTGTTGCCAAAAACACCCCCAGCCTTTAGACAGTCACTGGGTTAAGCAGAAAGGAAGCTGCTGTGGCATTCAGGCTGTGCTGCACTCAGGTCATGCCCAGGTGACCAACGCTACGTCCGGGCTATTTCCTAGGAAGCTGGCGGGGCCCTGGCAGCCCCCAGATCTCGAGGTGGCAGTCCCTGCTGGGTGATCGAGGAGGGAGGTCTGTGAATAACTGACTTTTCAAACAATTAAACTGGATTCAAGGATCCGTTCGTGACCCCTTAACAGCGTTACTGAGACAACTCCCACACCACACCGTTCACCCAATTCACTGTTGTCACAGGTAAAGCTACCAACTGCGACACCAGCACGTGGGCATTGAACTGTCCCAGCTGCTCCATTTCCACTCTGGGAAAGCAGTGGAGCAGGGCTCAAAGTCTGGGCCCCTGCACCCACGTGGGAGACCCTGAGGAAGCTCCTGGCTCCTCGCTTCAGCCTGGCTCAGCCCTGCCTGCTTTGGATCTGAAAATGAACTGGCAGATGGAAGTTCTCTTTCTCTCTTTCAAACACATAAATCAATCTTTCCGTGTGCTCACAGAACTGATGTCACCATGGTCATGGAGAGCGGCCCAGAGTCCCAACACACAGATGCCGAGATGACAAATGCCTGGTGTCTGGGTCACGCAGCTTTGACGTGGTCCACGGTGTAGACACAGTAGCTAAGATAGCCCCTCAAGGAATGCCACTGGTGGCTGACACCTGAGCACAGCCCCACGGTGCTGCCCTGAGACCACCTGGCAAACAGGTGTGATTTGCACTTGGGGAAACAGTCTAAATCCAATGTGTAAAAACAGCTGGACTACGACATGCCGGGCCTCGAGCTCACCTGGGAGGCCAGCATTGCTTCAACTGGCCCATCATGGCCACTGGGGCCATTTGGGGAGTGAACCAGCAGATGAAAGATCTTTCTCTTCAAACAAGTAAGTCTAAATAGATAAAACATTTAAAAACCGACTAGAAAACACTACATTGAACTGGTGCTCCTTAGGCCATGTGACAACAGAGAGCCCCTTGCCAGCCTGGAGCAGGTGGCGCGGTCCCTTCTCAAAGGGCAAGGGAGCCCATGCTCTCCTCAACCCTTCCCGCACCTGTGGCTCCAGCAAGCACCTTGCCAAGACTGGTGGGACGCCACACAGGGTGCTGCGGGGCCGTGGGAGCTTACCCAGCGGGAAAAGCCCTTGCCGCACTTGGGGCACTGATGCACAGTGGGCACAAAGCTGGCATCATGGTACTTCCGGAAGTGGACATTGAGCAGCTGCTTCTGTCGGAAACACTTATTGCAAGAGAGGCAGACGAACGGCTTCTCGCCCGTGTGGGTGCGTACATGCACGGTCATGTGGCGTTCCTAAGAGGCAAGGCGACAAAGATAGCTCACCTACCCTGGCACTGCTGCTGGGCACCCCTGAAGGCCAGGCTCTGCGGAAACCCCAGCATACAGCCAGCCCAGACCTTGCCAGGCCAGCAGGCACCAAGTTCTAACTGACCTCCTGGTGGGGCCTCCGAGGGCCACGCTACAGCACCTATCCTGCATGGGACCCGGACTGCCATGCAATGACCTGCAGCTTCCCAAGTTGACCCAGGGCAGACATACCCTGGAACCCTAAAACCTAAATGTGAGAGCAGGAATTCCACGTCCACTGGGACTGGATGCACTTGAAATATCCACACATTCTCCCTCTGCTTTCTGAGAGGGCGCTCACGCATCTGTGTGCTGCTTAGAAAGCAGACAAGGAGCCAGTCTGAATTCTCAGCCAAGAGACAACTAGAGAATTAAGCTCAGATTTACAGGAGCGAATGGTTTCTAAAGTCAGGACAAAAGTAAGCATAAAGTCACGGCAAAGGAGGTGCTGTGATGTTCCAGGTCCTTGCATTGCCACCAGGCTGGCTGGCAGAGCCTCCCCATGCACCTGTCACCTTGCCACCCCTCCAAGGGGCAGTGTCACAGGTGCTCAGTGGTGCTCAGGCCTTGTCCCCCACCTTCTCCCCATCTTCCATCCCCCCAGTGCCCTTTCTTCCCCTCTGGCCCCTCCCTGTCTCGCCCCTCCTTCCCCTCCTTTCCGTTCTCTCACTCGCTCTGCAAGGCTCAGTTTTCTAGATTCTCTCGCCAGGCGCAATCATGTTACTGCTAACGTCTCAGTTCAGGGGACCCCGTCGCCCTCTGGTATGTGTGCCAAGTGCTCCACCACAGGGACACACAGGGTCCTGCTGCTACCTGTCCTCCGAGGAGATGCAGTGCTTGGGGCAGTGGTCAGTGATGCGGGCGCTGTTCCCAGGCGCCCTGGGCTCTGGCAGACGGGAAAGCGGGGTGGGGTAGGCTGTGCCAACCTCCCGGTTCTCACCGCCCACAGCACTAAGCAGAAAGCCTTCGGGCCCGGATCGAGCGAGGTCCGTAACTCCCGGTTACGTCCAGGACATGGAGCAAAACTGCCCTTCGTTCTGCGGCTGTACCAAGGTGAGGGATGCAGTGGGCATGCCATGGCACCCTCAGACACCTCTGCTCCCACCCTGCCAATGTGAAGCAAAGGGTGGCGGCTGCCTGTGCTGGTTGTGATGCAGCCTGAGCAGCCCTGAGGACCCATCCCCTGCAGGAGTTGCTGTTTCCAATGGTAGCGCTATGAGCCAGGGGGCTTTCAATGTGGCGGCCTCCTGCCAAGGACCACTGCCGCCTCCTGCCTCTCTCAGCCGCCGACCACTTCCCATCACAGCCCACCGCCACCTGCCACAGCCTCCCACTGCCCACAACTGCTCACCGCCTCCCAGCACGGCCCACACCCACCTGCCACAGCCTCCCACTGCCCACTACTGCCCACTCCCATCCCACAGCTGCCTCCCACTGCTGCCGCCCTGCAGGTGGCACCTGCTTGCAGGCATAGCTGCAGTGGCTGCACTTGAAGCGCTTCTCATCCCTGTGGGTCTTCTGGTGCTGAAGGAGGGCATAGCGCTCGTGGAAGACAGCCGGGCAGTAGCGGCACTTCAGCTCGGTGGTCTGGTAAGTGTGCAGGTTAAGCAGATGGACACCTGAAATGGAAGCCAAGTGTGAGGCACCACTCACCACTGGCTGCTGCAGGGCCTGCTCGTTCCCCAGGCCAGCAGCCCTCAGCAAGGCACTACTCATGCCAGGAGCCAGGGGCTAGGGGCCAGGAGCTATAGGCCAGGAGCTGGGGCCCACGGGCCAGGAGCCGGGGCCCACAGGCCAGGAGCTATAGGCCAGGAGCCGGGGCCCACAGGCCAGGAGCCAGGGTCCACGGGCTAGGAGCCGGGGGCTAGGGGCCAGGGGCCAGCTACTGCCCTGCTCCCCTATATGCAGGGGCGGGCCCTGCAGGACAGTTGGCCTCACTCACCCCTGGCCTTGCCCACTAGGGTGGACACATGGCACGTGGAGGGGCAGCCACATCCAGAGAAGAACCATTCTTCACCGAGGGCCATGTGGATATTTGTAAATCATTCACAGGACTACTCCCATCACAGTGTGTCTGAAGGCGGCATCAGTGGGACACGACTAGGAGGCCAGGAGGCGGCTACAGCCTCAGACACACTTGGGAAGCTCAGGCACATGTTTCCCAGACAGGGATGGGGAAGTAGGGCTCAGCATGCACACAGCACCTCAGTGTGTGCACACAGCACTCAAGTGTGTTCACACGACACCTGAGCGTGCACAGCACCCACGTGCACACAGCCGAGTGTGCTGCCCAGTCACTTGAAGCAGTGGCCACTGTCCCTCTACCAGAGGTCAGGAGGGTCCCGCGGGCCTTGATGGCGTCAGCCTGTGGTCTCGCGGTCTTGTGTTGTTCATGCTTTTCCGGCAGCACACACGGAACGTTCTCTGACAGAGCTGGACTCCGGGGAACATTCTGTGATGTTTCAGGAACATTTCCCCAGTAAATGGACAATGAGCCAATTGTGCCCCATGACGTCTCATGACGTCACTCTCCCACCAGGGAGAGGATGAATCTCATGACATCATTCCTTCCCGCCCCCCCCCCGGAGTTCCATGACGTCACTCATGCTCCCTGGGAAACAAACAACCCAGGGCCACCATGTGGACCCTGGGGGCGCCCCGAGGGCAAGCTCACCGCAGGACACCGTGGTCACCATCTTGGCTCTGAACGAACACACACACACACACACACACACACACACACACACACACACACACCGACACACACACCACATACACGCACACACACACCACACACACACACCACATACACACACACACACACACACACACACACACACACACACACACACACACACACACACACACACGGTAAATTCAAATGCCCGCGACAGCTACTGCGCGTGCGTTGCAGGCAGGCGGGCTCTTGCTACGCATGCGTACAAGGAACGGATTGTGAAACTGCAGCTCTGCACTCTGGCCGCTAGATGGTGCCATAGCATCGCTGGAAGAAAACCCTCCCAGGCACTGCAAGCTCCCTGCTCCACGGCCCCACAGGCCCCACAGGCCCCACAGCCTCCCGGCCAGCATTGCACAGTCCACACCACAGTCCTGTGGCTGGTGATGCAGGGTCCACATCCCACAGCCCCACGGTCCCATGGTCCCACGGCCAGCTCAGCAGGGTCCACACCCCATGGCCTCCATGGCCCCGCGGTCCCACGGCCAGTGCAGCAGGGTCCACACCACAGTCCTGTGGCTGGTGATGCAGGGTCCACGTCCCACCACCCCATAGCACCGCTAGTGCTGTACCGTCATCCTTGCCCCATGGTCCCACAGTCCCACGGCCAGCTCAGCAGGACTCACACCCCACGGCCCCAAGGCCCCACGGCCCCACGGCCCTGCAAAGTGGTAGCGGGACACTCACGCAGGTCGCTCTTCCTGGCGATGAGGGTGGTGCAGTGAGGGCACTGGTACTTGGGGACGTTCTCGCTGTGCTTCTGCATAATGTGGATCTTCATGGTGCCACTCTGGGTGAATCGGGCGTGGCACACGTGGCACTCGTACGGCTTTTCTCCTGGGACATGCGACCAGAGGAGGGTGGCCTCAGCTCTCAGGCCGTGCCTCACCCAAGCACCCTGGGGACCCTTTGTCCAGGAGTTCAAGTCGTCACGCCCAGGCAGCCCACGTGGAGTGGCTGGGTCTACACGGCTTCCCTGGCCCCCGGGGGCTCAGGATGGCCAAGGGTCACCTCCAGCCTTAATGACAGACACGCGTGAGCGTATTCCCGCTGTGGCCGCACACCAGTCTCGGCACCCTGCAGCCTGAGTGCTGAGCGAGAATGAAGGTGCCTACAGCCATGGGGTGCATGCTTTGGGGGGCTCTCTGCTCGTCCCAGGGTCTGCGGCACAGCATCACACGGCCCCCGAACGTCACACAGAGGTGGACTGGCCCCACTCTGTGAAGAGACGCACATGTCGCTTCAACTTCAGTCCAGCCGCCACAGTCATGTATTTCCAGTCCAAGATTGTTTTTTAAAGTGAAAGCAAGAGAGCGTGAGAGAGATCTCCCTCTGTTCACTACTTCCCCGGTGCTGGAGCCAAAGCCTGGAACTCCATCCGGGTCTCCAAAACACTGCCTCCCAGGGTACCCATCAGCAGGAAGCTGGCGTCAGAAACTCGAAACCTGCCTCTGACGCGGGATGCGGGCAGTGTCAACTGCCTAGCCCTGAGGAGGGGCTCGTCCAGGCTGGGCACCCTGCTAGCCCTGAGTTGGGGCTCGTCCAGGCTGGGCACCCTGCTAGCCCTGAGTTGGGGCTCGTCCAGGCTGGGCCCCCTGCCAGCCCTGAGTTGGGGCGTGCTCACCTGAGTGGGTCCGCATGTGTCTCTTCAGCTTGCAGGCGTCCTTGCTGGCGTAGCTGCACAGGCCACACTGGAAGGGGCGCTCGCCCGTGTGTGAGCGGATGTGACGCTTCAGTTTGCTTGCCTGGCAGACAGACGAATGACAGGTGCTGGGGGCTGGGGCGTGCACCGGAGCCACTCGGTGTGAGGATCCCGCCTGTCATGCCAAGCACGGTACATCCGAGGGGTGTACCAGGGCCCCTGGGGCACGAAGCCCTTGGCTGTAACATGCAGTGGCTACGAGCCTCTACACCTTGAAGCCAGAGGCACAGTCGGCTGGCCCATGCCGCACTTGCGTCTATTCCACCTTTTAGGGCGACACAGCTGCAAAGCCCAGACCGTGCTGTGGCAACACCACATCTGCCAACAGTTCTGTTTCTGCGTATAAAGTAAAAATCTGGAGGCATGCGCTGGGTGCTGCAGCAATGCCAAGGGGCCGACTGCCTCCAGCTGAGGTGCACCTGGGGTGGCCTGCCTCCCTGCCAGGAAGCCTGGTGGCAGGGCCTGCTGGGTGAGACACGCTTCAAGTGGGGGAGCAGTGCACCCGCTCTGCCCCCGCTGCTTCTGCCTGCCAGAACCACAAGCCCGTGCTTTTAACAAGAAACGGGGCCATGGAGTGAGAAGGTTCCAGCAGCAATGTGAGGCTGAGGAAGGCCACCCCCTCTGCTTCCCCAACATATGAAGTAAGCGGGAAGAATAGTTGACATCAGAAGAAGGACCAGGGGCAGACAAGCTCCAAATGACACATTTGGCTTAGAGTTTTCAGAAGAAAAATGACATTTTCAAGTGTACTAGCAGCAAACGAGAGAGAAAATTTAAAATGATGCCATGAAAGGCTCAAGACAGATAAGCATAGGAATGAGCACAGTGGAGTGGGGGGCATCATGATGTGGGGAGCACCGCAGTGTGGGGAGCACCACAGTGTGGGGAGCAGGGCAGTGTGGGGAGCACCGCAGTGTGGGGAACAGGGCAGTGTGGGGAGCACCGCAGTGTGGGGAGCACCGCAGTGTGGGGAGCAGGGCAGTGTGGGGAGCACTGCAGTGTGGGGAGCACCGCAGTGTGGGGAGCAGGGCAGTGTGGGGAGCACCGCAGTGTGGGGAGCACCACATTGTGGGGAGCAGGGCAGTGTGGGGAGCAGGGCAGTGTGGGGAGCACCGCAGTGTGCAGGGCACCGCAGTGTGCAGGGCAGTGTGGGGAGCACCGCAGTGTGGGGAACAGGGCAGTGTGGGGAGCACCGCAGTGTGGGGAGCACCGCAGTGTGGGGAGCAGGGCAGTGTGGGGAGCAGGGCAGTGTGGGGAGCAGGGCAGTGTGGGGAGCACCGCAGTGTGGGGAGCACCACATTGTGGGGAGCAGGGCAGTGTGGGGAGCAGGGCAGTGTGGGGAGCACCGCAGTGTGGGGAGCACCGCAGTGTGGGGAGCAGGGCAGTGTGGGGAGCACCACAGTGTGGGAAGCAGGGCAGTGTGGGGAGCACCGCAGTGTGGGGAACAGGGCAGTGTGGGGAGCAGGGCAGTGTGGGGAGCACCGCAGTGTGGGGAGCAGGGCAGTGTGGGGAGCACCGCAGTGTGGGGAGCACCGCAGTGTGGGGAGCAGGGCAGTGTGGGGAGCACCGCAGTGTGGGGAGCACCACATTGTGGGGAGCAGGGCAGTGTGGGGAGCAGGGCAGTGTGGGGAGCACCGCAGTGTGGGGAACAGGGCAGTGTGGGGAGCACTGCAGTGTGGGGAGCAGGGCAGTATGGGGAGCACCGCAGCGTGCAGGGCACATCCCAGCTGATAAGGCTGGAGCCAAGCCTGGGGACTGCAAAGGTGGGTGCCATGACGGCCATGCCCAGGCCAGCCCTGCCTGGCTGCGTGTAGACCCTCCCGCTGGGCAAGGAGCAGGACCTGGGGTGGCATGCTATACGACGGCCCTCCGGGTCTGTTCTCATAATCCCCCATTCCCCGTTCCCGTCACAACCTTTAGGTCACATGAGAACACATGTTTTAAAAATAGTACTAGCTGAAAACATTCTTGGCATCAAATTCTGCCTGTCTGTGACATTTCCTAATTTCTGCCACGGCACACAGGGAACGTTTGTAAACCACAGCCCTTTTGCTTCGTTACCCCCGGGCCCGGGCTCTGACCCACGGGGCGCCTTGGCACGCGTCGGAGTGGCTGGCGGAGAAGGGGCACTGGGAAGTCACCGTCGCCTCTGCTTCCCTTTGTGCAGCACGGAGCGAGTCTTCTGTCACATTACACAAAACTATCAGGCTGAAAGTCAGCCTGTACGGCCCGCCTGGCTTCCGAGTCTCTCCTGCAGGGCCGTGGCAGGCTCGGGGCTCGGGCCGGGGGGCCAAGGCAGGCTCAGGCCCTCCTGCAGGGCCGAAGTGGGCTCAGGCCTCGGGGCTGTGGCAGGCTCGGGCCATCCTGCAGGGCTGTGGCGGGATTGGGGCTCGGGCTGGGGGACCATGGCGGGCTCAGACCCTCCTGCAGGGCCGTGGTGGGTTCAGGCTGCGAGGCTATGGTGGGCTCGGGCCCTCTTACAGGACTGTGGTAGGCTCGGGGCTCAGGCCTGGGGCAGTGGCAGGCTCGGGCCCTCCTGCAGGGCTGTGGTGGGCTCAGGCTGCGGGGCCATGGCGGGCTCAGGCTGCATGACTTTCAAACCTTCGTGGGTCTCTGCAGCCCAGGGGCTGGATGCTTGCCAGCTCCGATTTAGGGCCTTGGGAGGCACACTGGCAGGTACCAACCAAACAGTCCAGTGGAAATGACTGTGGCTTCTAACGGAGGTGTGACAGGAGGGCTTCTGTCTGAATGGCAATGGGCGGTCATGTCCACCCACGCCCAGGGTGTGTGGGCAACAGTGGGGCCCAGCAAGGCTCAACCAGAAGTGTACACCTTTAGCTATGCCTTCTATGAGCGAGTAGTTAAAGAAATAGGATTTCTCCAGTTGCATCTGGAAAATGGGAGCACGGTATTTCTCGCGTGAGTTTGGGACGGACTCATCGGGGCCACACGTAGTCTCCACGCTGTCCCATTTCCTCAGCTGCTGCTTCGGGCGGGCAGGGGGACACGCTTACCTCCACGCTGGCATACTTGCACAGGGAGCACTTGAAGGGCTTCTCGTGGGTGTGCCTGTACCGCCGGTGGCGGACCAGCTCGCCGCTGGTGACAAAGGCCATGTCGCAGTCCCCGCACTTGTAGGGCCTGTTTCCTGGAAGAGCAAAGCCAGACCGAAACTCAGAAGGCACAGCAGAGTAGCACCTGTGGCTCTGCCATCTCCTTGGCTACGCTAGGTTCAAATAAGTGAACAGGGCAGATGGCGTCTTCGCGGGAACCTCCCATGTGCAGGAGAAGCTGTAAAATTCAGCGCTCTTGGCCAAGGCACAAGAAGAGAATAAGACATGGACCCTGCCCACTGCGGGCCTTCGCCCACATGTGGCCAAAGCCATAGACGGCCCCGAGCCGGCCACCCCAGGGTGCTGCGAGCAAGGCCAACGCCGCAGGGGTGGACCAGCACAGCTCCAGCAGTGGCTCCTCACAACACGGCCATTTTGACCTAAGCCAGATTATGCCAACAGATAGCACATTTCACACATGCAGCTGGTGGAGGGCATGGGGAACCACAGAGAGTGGCTGTGGCCCAGGGCCACCAGTGCTGTAGGGGACACTACTGTGGGCTGGGGGGCATGCAATTCACCCGTGTGCGTGTTAATGTGGTTGCGCAGGAGGCTGGCCGTGCGGAAGGCCTTCAGGCACAGGTGACATAGGTGTGGCTTCTCGCTGGAATGCGTCTTCATGTGACGCTTTAAGCTCGAGGCCCGAGAAGAGGAGAAGTCGCACACATTGCAGCAGAAGGTCCGGCTCGCTTCTGTAAGAAAGGACAGAGCCCGTAAGCTTGCACACGCCGGCTGTGCTCAAGAGCTCATGGCAGCTTGGCCCCAGCTCGATTCTGACTCACGTGCAAACAAGGCATGCTACTGACACTGACGGGCTGATCGGGACAGCCCAGGCAGCAGGAGATGGGCCGACTTCCACATCCGGTAAGTGACGCACCAGGCGCTTGAACCACAGGAGGAAACGCCTCCAGGTTGCAGGTGCCCATGCACTGAAGTGGACACAGCACGCCAGTCCAAGAAGGACCAGTACCAAAGATGACTCCGTCACTCTGCAGCCCCCACCCAGCCGGGACCAGGAAAAGGGTGCTGGGCAAACCGCAGCCCCAGTCACACATGGCCACTCAAACTGGGGAAAAATGGTTAACACAAAATAAAATGTAAACCCCGCATCCTCCGCTGCGGATCACAGACGAAGTGCCCAAGGGCCTCGGGGGTTAGCGGCCACAGCCCATCGTCTCAGCAAGTTCATCTTGGACAGCACTGGCCTGGCAGACAGGTGAGAAAATCTTCCTCTAACATGGCTGCAAGACACCCACTTCCCAGGTGGACCTAACAAGGCCCAGCAGGATGCTGGTCGATGGTGGTTTCCTGATCATCACTCAGTCTGACCACGACTTCCTGTGGTGGAAACCAATACAAACCATCGGGCAAAGGACCAGCGGTCATCCTGGGTTTCCAAGAATTCCCAGAGAAAATTCCAAATAAGACAGTTTCCAGGGACTGAGATGCCGGAGCAGAACCAGCATGAAGCAAGGACCTGGCGCGGGTGGAGCTGCGGATGTAGACGTAAGAGCAGCACATGGCGCGGGGAGTTAACATGGCAGGGCAGGGAGCGTCACCGTCCAGCTCTTCCACAAAGCCCAGGGCATTGCACCAACTGCCACATGCTGGAAACAACCAGAGGACCATCTGACTCCACAACACCAGGCAGGCTCGTGGTAAAGAGGGAGCCCTCTGGAGTCTGGGGTTCTCCTGGGCTCAGTCCTTCTTCCTAGCTCAGCCATGTCCGTGAAAACACCACCCTGAACGCACAGAGCCAGACCCGAGTGAACCGCGGTTTAGAGACTGGTTAGTATCACACGCCCACAAGGAAAGCTCGCTGTGACCTGCCCTGAGTCCTGGGAGCATCACTTCTAAAGGCTGGCCTTCGTCTCCTGTGACTCGGGACTCCCTCAGTGCGGAGCAGGCTACCTGGGTGAGGTGGACGAGCAGAGGCTTGCTGAGAGCACTTTAAGGGAGTGGATAAGACGGACAGCAGCAGACTGCACAGTGCTCTTGCAGGAATAAGGGCTTGGAGCTGCGACCTTCCGGTCGCGGAAGCCCAGCGTCAACACGCAGAGTCCCCAGCAAGTCGGTGATCAGCTTCCATGTTCTGTCCTTTCAGGTACTTAAGATCTCGTCCTATGCATCAGTGACCAAGAGACTCCAGCAGCCAAAGCAAAGCACACACACTTCGCCTGGTCCACAAAGGGTCCCACACGGAGGGGAAGAACGGTTAATGGAGCTGCCACGTTCTAACGCTCAGGTCTGACTTTCTGCAAGTAATCACATGGCCCACAAAGAAAGACGCAAACATGGAAGCCTGTACAGAGAGAGAAGAGTCCACAGAAACTGCTTCTCTCTGAGGACAAGGTGGACGTGCTGGACAAAGGCACCAGGCGTACTGGAAAAAGACTTTAAACCGGTGACTTCACACACATGCCAAGACAACAAATAAAAAAAACTTTAAGAAACAAAAAGAAATCACGAGAATGACGGTTCATCAAATAAAAGCTATAAATAAACAGAAAGTTTGAAACTGAAAATTCTAGTAACTGAAATGAAACATCCATGAGCAGGGCTCAGCTGAAGAAAAAGGAACAGAATCAGCAAACTAGACCAACCGAGAATTCGCCATGAGGAATGGAAAGTGTCCCGGATGGGCGGTGCCCAGGACACTGGTGGCACGGTGCAGTGGTCTCAAGGAGTGGTGGCGGAAGAGCGTGGGAGCTGTGTGTCCCAAAACAAGACGTACGTGCAAAAACCTTAACAAAGTTTAGGTAGCGTCTACATCAAACGCAAGCAAACTGCTGGAGCACAAAGCAAACACAGCCCCAGAGCAGATCATAAAAAATGACTAAGAGATTAAAATCGGACACAACAGCCACCCAACACAAAAGAAAATGATAGTGTAAGGACTAATGGATTTTTAAAAATGACATTTTGTTAAAAAACAAAAATGAAGACAACAGAGTAGACCAGACCCTCAAGTTCAGAGTCTGGGACTGGCAGAAAGAGCTAAAAGCACGATCCAACCATTTGAGATTAATTTAAATTCAAAGACACAAACAGGCTGAAAGAGACGGGATGCCCAGGGTGAAGGGAAAGTGAAGCAAGCAGCCGAGACTACTTCACCTCAAGCAACACGGACAACAACCTGTACAAAAGGCATAAGGGATCAATCCATCATAAAGACAAAAATTATAAACACATACACAGCTAGTAACACGGTCCTCAAATACTTGAGGCACAAAGGTTGAAATAAAAACAAAAATTGAAGGTCGAAGTACACTCTCTTAACAGTAGCCAGAAACTTTCAAACCTCACTTAGAAAACTACAGAATTGGAACCGAGTGAGGAGACAGAATACAGCATAACCCAGCGGACGCACCATCTCGGGAACGGTGCATTCAACAACCGCAGACCAGACAGGCCTCTTGGAAGCACAGGGTAAGTTCCACGGGGCACCACGTGCCAAGCCACGAACCACACCACAGAGAGCATACAGAAATCCTCTATGCCACAGAGCACGCCACGGGCAGAGGGCGTGCGGAACATCCTCTGGACTGCAAGGAAATTAGAAATCAACAGAACATCATGGGGAATGCGTAACACGAGCAAGTAAAACAACATCTCAACAAGCGTGGGTCAGAGAGATCCGGAAAAAACGAGCAGTACTTCAAGATGACTGGGAGTGAGCACTCGAGACGAAGACCACGAGCTCAAGACACTAGGAAAGAAGAAAGACTGCAGACCCGGGGCGCTAGAGGGTAAACCTAAGCCAAAGCTGGCAGAGGAATGAAATAATTCACATCAAAAAACAGAACAGTTAAGGAAACATCAGCAAGTGACAAACTTCTACCTGGAATTTTGACCAAGGGGAAGAAAAGAACATCCGCATTATTAAATGAAGAAGGAAAGCAAGGATGATGCTAACAACGTCACATAAACTCCAAGGATTATGCAAAAATATGAACGATTACACATACATATATCAACAAACTAAGAAAGCCCAGATGAAATCCTACAGACAACTACTAAATCCGGGCAGACTTAACAGTAAAACGACTTATTATAAAAATTACAACAACCAGATGGTTCTACCAATGAACTCTAACAAAAGCTTAAATATAACAGCGAAATCTTCTCCAAATACAGGGAAAAAAAAAAACCAAAACAGGACCAGAGGAAACACTCGTTAATTCTTCTGAGAATGGTGAGAATATTTTGGGAACGAGGCTGTGCGAAATGTGAACATTTAGGAGCTAGGAGTTGACAAAATTAACGTGTGATCCCTTGAGTTAAATATGTGAGAAATTACACGTGGCGAGAGGCCAGAAACTCAGCCTCCTCCACAGTAATCCAGGGGCAGGGAAGCCCACGGAAAGGCCCGGGCGGGAGCAGGTGGGCATGCGGACAGCACGTGCGCGCCCATGGCCCTTCCTGACCTCAGCCACCTGCTACCGGCAGGAAGCAAAGACGCCTCCCACTGCACGTGCGACTCTTAAGCAAGAAACCATTTCTTTAAACACGCTTCGCGGGCCAGTCCTGCCGCTCGCGCTGCCGCTGGCTGCTTTATTCCGGCTTGAACGCAGGCCGGGCTCCTGCCTGCTGCGACCCCCTGCGAGCCCGGCTGCCAGGAAGCCGCACAGCCCTGGAATCAGGCTCGCGGGCCACTTCCAGAGGGCTTCCGCGGCGCTTCCCGGTGCCCACGCAGTGCCGTGTGCTGCCTCCTGCAGGAGCTTCCTGGGCCTGGTGCCAGCTGCCGGCTCCCTAGCCTGCCACGCGGGGGTCAGAGCCAGGGCACCACCTGCGGGCACCTGTCACCGGCCGTGGACGGAGGGTTTCTGCACGCGACTCACCACACAGAGCACGAGTTTAAAATCTCCCCCCCATTCGGAAGTCACCCCGTCTACACTTCAGCAAGCTGCGGTGCGCCGCATGGGGGCCCTGCCAGCCGCGGCCCAGTCACCCCGAATGCCACGGGGCCTGCCTACCTTTGGTCTCCTTGTCCCCCTTGGCAGGGCCGGCTTCCCCCACCTGTGTGGGGGCGGCACTGGGCTCCTCTCCGCGGCTCTCCACGTTCAAACTTGAAATGGTCAGAAGGATTTCGTTGCCTGCCTCGTCCGCGGGCTCGGCCTCCAGGAGGAAGAGCTGCTCGGGGGGCACGTCACTGAACCCTCCTGCCAACGCCAGTGGCTCCTCCTGCTGGCTCCTCTGCAGCTGGGGGACAAAACCAGACACGCCACACCTCTCGCCGAGGGCTGCGTGGACCACGGTGTGCCGAACGACAAAGACCAAAGGCCGTGCGTGGCCACGACGTGGCCTTACTCACGTCACATTAGCGGTGTTGAAGTGCACCACAGTCTCCACTCAGTATAAGCCTTCAACATCACCACCAAAGGGCAACAGGGGCCTGGTGTGATGGCCTAGTGGCTCAAACTTCAACCCCATGTGGGTGCCGGCGCGTATCCGGGCGCCCCGCTTCCCATCCAGCTCCCGGTTTGCAGCCCAGGAAAGCAGCGGCTGACTGCTGTGGCCACGTGGGGGACTCTCTCTATTCAGAAAAAGGGGAGTCGAGGCAGAAACAGGACCTAGGCTTCCCCGGGACGATTTTCACTGCGTTCAACCGCAAACTGTACAAGGAGCCCCCACCCACACACGGCGCAGGGCGCAGGGCGGAGGGCGCAGGGGCTCCCGGGGCCAGCCCTACCTGGCCGGCCAGCCCGACGGCGCCCTGCTCCAGCACGTGGAACTGCATCACGCCCAAGTCCTGCAGCGGGCACAGCTCCTCCTGGAAGGCCACGCACGCCTGCCCCTCGCGCTCCTCGCTCAGCCACAGCAGCGAGGGCAGGCCGGCCACCGCCTCCCGCAGCAGCGCCTGCACCTCCTGCGGCGGCTGCGGGCCCAGCCACTCGGCCTCGGGCAGCCCCGCGCCCCGGGCCGGCAGGTGCACGCTCGGCAGGCCCGGGCCCGGCCTGGCGGGCTGCGGCGGGGAGCCTGGCACCGGCGCTGGCGCCGCTTGCGGGGGCCCGGGCTGCGGGGCCTCCAGGCCGCCGGGACTCGGGCAGCCCCGCACCCCGCACAGGCTGTCGGCCTCCTCCTCGAGAACTCTGGCCGGCATCAGCTCGAGCTCCTTGATCTTGGTGAACTGCTCGGGGGAGATGCCGCTGGCTGCCATGATGGTGGCCTATTTGAGAAAGAAGTAAGCTGAGCTGCAGGCCCGGAAGGCTGTGGACCTGACTGAGTTCCGACACGGGGCTGGTCCCGCAGGGTCAGGCCTGGCTGATCCAGCGTGGTTCCCGTAAGTCCAGCAGCAAGAGGCCCAGCACGCTTTCGCCCGACATTCTAGAACCAACAGGTCTGGAGCCATTGCACATTCGACCTGGTTGAAGGTACGCCGGGCCGTCGGGGCAGAGCACGCTGCACGCCAGCAGGCGAGGGCCTGGCAGCTTCTCCCCCTTGGCCCCGGACGACCCCGTCCACCCAGACCGGACCCGGCTTCCCGGGCCACTCCCGACCCGACCCCTTCCGTGGCCTTGAGGCACCCCCACCATCCGTGGCCGCAACCCCCGACTTCGGCCCGCCCCACCGAGCGCCCCGCTCCACCACGCAATGGCAGGAGCTCCAGCGAGAGGCCGCTCACCGCCCCGTCCTGCGTGGGCTCTGCCTCGGCCGCGGGTGGGGCAGCTTGTGGACCGCCGCCTCCGCACGGCTCAACGCGCAGGCGCCAGGTGCGAAGGAGGGGGCGCGGCGTGAAGGGGCGGGGCCGGGGTAGGGGTGCAGCTGGGGGGTGGCGGGAGAAGAACCCCGAGTGGGAGAATGGCAAGGCCTGAGGAGTGGGCTAGGTGGGGAAGAGGTGAGGGGGCATTGAGAGGCCTTGGAAGGAGAGATGTGAAGGGGGAGGCCCTGAGGGGGGATACTGAGAGACCTGGACGGGGTAGGAGTATTGGGGGATGGACAGACAAGGAGCCTGAAGGGGGCGCTGAGAGACGGAGGGGGGATGGGAGAGGTGGACAGAAGGGGGAGAGGGAGTCACTGGATGGGGAGGAAGAGGAAGGGGAGGGAGCTGGGCCTGAGAGGGCGCTGAGAGACCTGAGGGGTTGAAGGGAGGGACCTGGGCCTGAGAGACTTGGGGGGGGGGAAGGGGAAGGACCTGGGTCTGAGAGACCTGGGGGGGAGAGGGGGGACCTGGGCCTGAGAGACCTGGGGGGGAGGGGAGGTCTGAGAGGGCTGAGAGACCTGGGGGGGTTGAACGGAGGGACCTGGGCCTGAGAGACCTGGGGGGGTGGAGGGGGGACCTGGGCCTGAGAGACCTGGGGGGGAGGGGAGGTCTGAGAGGGCTGAGAGACCTGGGGGGGTGGAGGGGGAGGGGCCGGGTCTGAGAGACCTGGTGGGGGAAGGGAGGGACCTGGGGGAAAGGTAGGGGAAATGTAGGGGGAGAGGCCTGTGTGAGCTCTGAGAAACTGGGGGGAGGGGGTTGAAGATGAAGGGAAGGATGGGGCCTGAGAAGGGGAAGGAAGAGGAGGAACCTGAGGTGGGAAGGAAGGGGAGGGACCTGGGGAGCACTGAGAGACTGAGGAAAGGAGGGGGAGGGGCCTGAGGGGGGGAGGAAGTGGTGGGCGTGAGAGGGGAAGGAAAGAGAGGAACCTGAGGGGGGGAAGGAAAGGGCGGGACCTGAGGTGGGGAAGGAAGGGGAGGGGCCTGGGGAGCACTGAGAGACCTGAGGAGAGGAGGGGGAGGGGCCTGAGGAGAGGAGGGGGAGGGGCCTGGGGAGCACTGAGAGACCTGAGGAGAGGAGAGGGAGGGGCCTGGGGGAAGGAGGGGAGGGCCTGGGGCACTGAGAGCTGAGGAGAGGAGGGGGAGGGCCTGAGGGAGGAGGGGGGGGCCTGGGGAGCACTGAGAGACCTGAGGAGAGGAGAGGGAGGGGCCTGGGGGAAGGAGGGGGAAGGGCCTGAGGGGGGAAGGAAGTGGTGGGCGTGAGAGGGGAAGGAAAGGGAGGAACCTGAGGGGGGGAAGGAAGGGGAGGAGCCTGGGAGGAGGGGGAGGGGCCTGAGAGACCTGGGGGCAATGAGACAAGGGGTGGGGCTATGAGTTGGGGAAGGGGAGGGGTTTGAAGGAGGCACTGAGAGGGGGAAGAGGAGCGGAAGTGGGAGGAAGGCACCAAAGGGATGGGTGGAGGAGCTCTGGAGGGCCGGGAGAGGCACTGGGGGGGAGAGGATGGCAGTGGAGGGGGAGGTCCTGAGGGGAAGGCTGATCAGCCTGGTGGGGAGGAGGACAGGAGACTGAAGAGGACAGAAGGGTGCTGGGGTGGAGGGGGGTAGGCGGCGTGAGCGATGGGATGGGAAGAGGGGGGAGTGGACAGAGTTGGGCACTGAAGGACCTGGGGGCGGGAATAAGGAGAAGAGGGAGGAAGGAAGAGTACAGCACCAGAGCCTCGGGTGGGAAGACAGGTAGGGCTGGGCCGTGAGGGGCAGGGGAGACCCCAAGATGAGGGTGGCAGGACAGGAGGACTGTGGAGACAGGGGAGTGGCTGGGGAGGGGGAGAAAGAAGGGGGGACAGCTGGCAGGTGCCATGAAGGGGAACCCCGCCCGCGCAGGGGTGGAAAGTGGAAGTCAGTGGAAGGGATGGAGAGTCGGGAGGCGCTCTGAGGGGATACGGGGTGTGACGGGGGAAGGTGGAGAAAGAGGCGCCGTTTCTGCGATGGGGGAGGGGGGGCTGTAGCAGAGGGACCCGGAAAGGGAGTGGCAGCGGTGGTGGGGGTAAGGTGAAGTGGCTGGGCGCCCCCTCCTGGTGAGTTGGGGAGGAAGCGTCCTGTGGCCGGCCTCCTCCCACCTCCACCCCGTCCCAGCTGTTTGTTCTTGATAAAATTGTGAAGGAAAACGTCTCAGTTAAAGCAGGTGGGAGGATGAGGATGGGAGGTTTTTACTTTCTGCCTTTCAAATAAAAGGAAATAAAGACTTTTTAAAAATCAAAATGTCCTGGCGCCATGGCTTAGCGGCCGAGGTCCTCGCTTTGAACGTGCTGGGATCCCATATGGGCGCCAGTTCTAATCCCAGTGGCCCTGCTTCCCATCCAACTCCCTGCTTGTGGCCTGGGAGGGCATTCGAGGACTGCCCAAAGCTTTGGGACCCCTCACCCACGTGGGAGCGCCGGAAGAGCACCTGGCTCCTGGCTTCAGATTGGCGCAGCACCAACCGTTGGGGTCACTTGGGGAGTGAATCATCATATGAAAGATACTTCTCTCTCTCCTCCCGCTATATATGTCTGTCTTTGCAATAAAAATAAATCCTTAAAAAAAAATAAAATGGTTCTTTTTGTGTTAAGTACATCAATTATTTTTATGCAAATGAGTTACCTGCATCATGGTCTCTAGAAATTGAGTCCATGTCTCTATGTATGAAAGAAGTTCGATTTTGGAGCCAATGGGAGAATAAATTAACATGCAGTTTGCTTATTTAAAAAAATCATGTGGGTGTGGGTTTTACATTGTGTTACAGTGTGAAGCACCCCATGTGAAATATGTGAAATATGGCCCGAGCCCCAGCGCCTCCACTGCTGGCCGGCTCCATGCAAGGGGAGTGGGCCAGGGCTTGCCCCTGCCACTCCAGTGAGAGACACGGACGGAGATCCAGACACTTCCTGGCCCCAGCTGTTCAGCTGTTGGGAAGGGAATCAGTGGATAGAAAATTCTCTCTGTCACTTTGCCTTTCAAATGAAAATAAATAATTTGTATAATTTAATTGACTTGATTTGAAAGAGGGACAGACAGAAGTCACCCACTTGTCTACTCCCCCAGTGCCTGTTACAATCAGGGCTGTTTGAGGCGGCAGCTGGGATCTGGGAACTTCACCCAGCTGCCGTATAGGGGTGCAGGGACCCTCGTACCTGAGCCACCCCTGCTGCCTGACAGGTACCCGCTAGCGGGGAGCTGGAATCAGATCCCAGAAGGCAGGACTCCGAACTTAGCAACTAAACGCAGAACAAGGCACCCCAAGAGGTGTCTCACTACCTGACCAAATGCACCTGCTGGTTTGTTTATTAAAGATATATATATATACACATACACATATATATAATTTGGAAGTTACAAAGAGACAGACACACAGAAGTTTTTCATCTGCTGGTTCACTCACCAGGTGACCGATCATCCTGCAGATGGCCAAGCTCAAGTCAGGCCAAAGCCACGGACCTCACTCAGGTCTCTCTCATGGCTGGCAGGGACCCAAACAGTTGGGCCATCTCCTGCTGCCTTTACAAGGCCATTAGCAGGGAGCTGAATCGAAAGTGGAGCAGCCAGGACACGAGCTAGCATGGGGTGCCGGCTATGGCTTTCTTAGCTACGCCACAACACTACTCACCCCCTTATTTATCATCTATCTATCTGTATCTATTTATTTATTCCTTCCTTTTTATCTCTCTCCCTTCCTTCCTAACTTACTTCCATCCTTTCTTCCTTCCTTCATTCCTGTGGTTTACAACATTTCAGTAAATTGTTCTGGCTTATTTTCACTTTTTCTTTGAAAATTCAGATTAAATTTTCTTGTTTGTTGATTGTGAAACGATCTATCTGTATGCTGGGGGAACAAAACCCAGGGAAGAAGGCAGAGTTGGAGGTAGGGGGCCTCCCCGATCTGCAAGGACGGTGAGAGCTGGCTGGAAGCCTGGCGTTGTGGGGGCGGCTGCTGTTTGATATACTGTGACAACAGGGGCCAGCTGCCTCCCACCTCTGGCCAGGTGGCTGGCTGCACTGGTGAAGTGCCCTCCGGGGCTTGCCACCCCACCGCTCCGTGGAGCTCTTCTTATTGGCACATGGCGTCTGCTCAAACACTGCCCCCTTTTCAAGAGCACAGAGGGTAGAACTCCGTTTGGTGTTAACGAATTTCAAGTAGCAGCAGTGACGCATGCGTGAGTTGGGACTCCCGGGCGGTGTGTGTTAGCACTGTGCCTTGATTCCATCACGCTACCTACAGTATCCAGAGGAGACAAAGATTGGAAGGCCACTGGGAAAATAGTGGGATAGAATAACTTCTTTTAAATCATTGAAATGAGTTTTTCTGCTTGAACAGTCACCACCCAGTTAGTGCCTTCTTGGCTAATTTGCATTATTGCTATAACACTTGGGCAGCCAGGCAGTTTTTCCAGTATTTATGTTATAGATTCGTGTGTAAAATTTTCAA